CAATAGCGTCAGAGCAGCTTTACAGTGGCAAACAGGAAAATAGTTTGCCACTGTAAGCAGTCATTTTTCAAGTTAAAGTCAGTTCAATGATGATTATGTGATATGTAAACAAACTGCACCTGCTGCGGTATTATCAATAAAAAATCACAAAAAAATGGGACATTCTAAAACACTTCACATGAAAAATGCATAACATGGTTTAATGTATTAAGTGTTATTAAATTATCAAATTCAAAATATCGCTTATATACAGGCAAGCAGATGAGCCCAGAATATGAACAAACGTCTTAATGTATTAAGCCACATTAGGCATTTTCTTTATAATGGTTTTCTATGCGAAAATGCTTAACGTGCAATTTAGTGCATTGTGTTCATATTCTGGGTGAATCTGTTCACCTGCATATAGTTCACATCATCAATGAGGTATATACTGAGTTTTGTCTTTTAATATCACTGTCTAACTACATTAGTTCTTAGTACAAACTTGGTAAAAATGAATGCCATTCATTGGAGGACAGCTTTGTTTTGCCCTCTAGTTGGGAATTCCTATAACTATGAATTGTAGAGTACTCCATTTGCAGTGCTGGGGAGGCTCCGAGAACACGTTGAAAACCCCTGATTTAGGCATATTTCTAGAGAAAAGCAATGGCATCCAACTTTCATTTGTGAGCAGGACTCGAGGGAAAAAAAATACAGACATTAAAGCATGCAACAGTGATAACTGATAAAAGCATGTGTACATGCACATGAAGCAAAGACTTTATGAGATTTTATGAGGGTTTGTCAATTCAAATTGAACTGTGATATTATGTAAGATGTAACAGTAAAGACTTTAGAATCTAGTCATCCACCTCTTCATTAAAACTGCAATCATAAAATGGTGCACAATATAATTTCTCAAGAAAGTAGTGCTTGCCCATGGTTGCTATGTGATTGCACCGGTGCTCTAGGTGGTTGCTAGCACACTGCTGAGTGGTTCCCAAGTGGTCCCAAAATAAGATTTGGGTCCCTACTTCAGTGAAACTGTTTGAGTAGTTATTAGCTTGTTTTATTGTCCGCCAGATAAAAATTAAAAGTGTTGAGTTACACATCAAAACTAAATATTATTTAAGTATGAACAACGGTAATAGCAGTAATTTTCACCTTAGCAAACCTATTATTATAAGTGTTCAGAGTAAACATTTTCTAATAGACATGTAAGAAGATTTATTACGATCTGAAAATACTCTATTGCTGACCTTGTCTTCACAGGTGCAGCCCAGGTCATCATTAAGAGCTGTGACTGGTCCTGCAGGGTTTGGCTTGGACACTTCTTCAGGCATGCTGGGTATGTGTACAGGGGCCCTCAAGAGCTGGTTAAGGCTACCATGGGTACCATTATTAGGGGCAGGCTTCAAGCCAAGGAGATCTGGGAAACATGGAGGCAAAAGATCTTATGTGCACACTGTAAAGCATTAAACAATGAAGTTATTAGAGTTTCCAAGTATGCATTTTTATGGTATTGAACAACTTTTACATATTTGTTGTCGGTATTTTTTATATTCAAGCTCTTCACCTTTGGGAAACTATTTTTTATTTTCGAAATAGAAAGGAATTTATTAGAATTTTAATTACATTTATATTAAATCATCTGCTTTTAATCAATTCATATCATACCTAACTGATCCCTGATGCTAGACAGAAGGGGTCACATGCACACTTTACTCTCTACGCCACTAATGCATTAATACATTGATTAATATAAAGAAATAGTGTGCAAGCAGAAATAAGATCATTATGGGTAATAAATGAAGCAGCATGGTGCTGTATGTGTTTTTGTATTTATTATTGAACCAAATAGCCTGTCCCTTATAGCCTGTCCTGCTCAAATTTCATTTATTTACAACTATACTTTACATTTTGCAAAGATGTCAAGCGACTGTAAAGCTCAAGTTTTTCTATGGTGGTTAACTTGGCGTATTTTCTATACTTTTGGGAGTTTACATTATGCAAAACTATGAATAGAGATAAGTGCTTTTGCACTGAAACTCAAAATTAATGCTGTAATCAGGATTACTACAGAATGAAAAAATAAAGATTTTCTCACCACACATGACATTATAAAGCTCAATATTCTCAAATGGTGGAATTTTTGTTTTGAATTTGAAAGATGGTCCATATCCAAGGAAAATGGTCTGAAAGTAGATCAAAGTAAGTCACTAAAGTACCACAAAGTTTAACACAACATTTTCAATTATATCTATGAAAATTTAAACACAAACCTGCATGCTGTTGATTTTATTGTCATATCCGTGATCACCAGCAAACCCACATTTCCCATGATTCCTTTTTGATTCATAGAACTTCCTGTATCAGAGAGACTCAACACCATTAGGTAACTGCGGGTTCTTCATCTCAAAGAAAAACATGCGGGGGAGACATGGAGCAATTTTTCAACTATATAAACATTAAACCTTGTTTTCTTCCCAATCCTACATAAGAATTTGTCTCAAATATTTATTTATTAGAGCAATGACTTGTTGTTAACAAGTCAATGACTTGTTAACGACAAGTTAGTATTTGTAGATGACATGCTTAAATACTAAACATAAAAGTCCAGTGTTTAAATTCCTTAGAATAAATCAGTATTTAAAAGTCACCGAACATGCTGGGTGAAGCTATGTGGCAGAGCCAAATGACTTAAGTACACTAAACCTCAGTAATCACCCGGCTGTAAACTCTTCATTTTTACTCAGTGGAAAGAATACACTACAGTAAATCCAGGGATTCCAGCAATAAGTGTTCGTCCCATGCAGCATCTTCAAATAACAAATGAGAGACTGCTCATAAATATTTTATTTCATTTCTTAAAACCTGACTAGTTAATTTAACGTTCTGCTTCATGCAAAGACCTACAGGCTAGGTAAGACTGCCCAAGCTATAAAGTATTTCACTTCATGACTTTGGAACCACCGATTAGACAGGACTATATCTCCACCAGTCTGCCTCAATGCTTGCTTTCATTTGGGGCTCTACCGTCAGCCAAACCAAACAGAGGAGGTTGTCTCAACCCTGCTGTGAGGAACCGTTTCTGGACCTGCCTCTCTGTTTCTGCATCCACATCTATGGTAGAAGCGTTGTAAGCTATTGGCCAATTACAGTGACCTCATTGTTTTTCTTTTTTTGTTTATAGAGTTTATAGCTTCCCATTTCAGTATCAAACGAGCATACTAGGGACTACGGTGTCATTAGAAGCATCTAAGGAAAAGGTAAAAACTGAAAAGGTACTTCCATTGCGTAACATAGTACTCTGTAAAAATAAATATTTAAAAAATATGGACAAAGGAAATTATTTTAATTAATTTTTTTATAAAAATAATAATTTCCTTTGTTAGTATTTTTGTATTGTTTTTCAACAGCAAAATATCTGAACAACCTTAAAACAAGACAAATCTAAATCACAGACAAAACTGATATTAATACTTATTTTCAGAGAATATATCTTGAATTAGGCACATTTTTTTCTTAAGCAGAAATCTAATAACATTTAGTGAGGTGCATGCTTAAAATAAGACAAAATGGTAACAGTTTACAATAAGGTTAATGCATTAGGTATCATGAACTGGGTGTAGCAATGAACAATATCAATCCAGGTTCATTTAATTTCCACATTAATATATTTTTTACTTAATATTAGTGAATGTATTATTAACTAATATGAAAAAACAATGAACATTATTATTTATTTAAATTAACATTAAACTTGATTAATCAGTGCCGTAAAAAATGTTGTTCATTGTTTTGTTTTTTCATGATACCTAATGTGTTAACTAATGTTTATCTTGTTTTATGGATGTTTAGATATTTTTATTAGAAAATAAAACAAAAGCACTCTTTAAGAAAATAATTTTTGCATAGTAGGTTTAGGCATCTCTATCAATCAAGAAATGTGATACATTTGGACATTTTAACCATTTTAACCATGAAGACTGAAATGTAATTATGTGATAGGTAATTTACCGTGCGATGTGCCATTTCCTCTCAACCATCAAGTGAACCTCCTCAATTCTGTGGTTGTTGGCATAATGCAAACGTTTGGGAAGATGCTGCTTCAAGTATGGTTTGAAGTGCTGGTCTGGCTTTTTACACTGTAGGAGAACCAAGCTTCATGTTTGGTGAAGAAGAACAGTGCATTCTGTACTGAAATTACCAGAGTACATTTTAAATTAAACCATTTAATTAATCAATATACAGTAGTCCCAAAATATATTTAGAGACTATTTGAGACTAAAGTCACATAAATAATGTTAGACTTTCCTCAGAACTAACTTTGTTTTTGGGAACTATTTTTTGCAAAGAGTTTTATCCAACTTTTGAGTGGATGTATGAAGTCAGTTCTGCTCAAGTTCACAGAGGTGTAGTGACAGAGTAAACACAGGTGCAGGTCATCACATTAAGTATGGAGTCTCTCTTAATTTTGACAAACAGAAAGTGTTTTCTTATAAAAAGGCTTAGTAAAGTATAATGTAAATTTACAAAAGTATACTATTATAAAGTATTTTAGAGAAAGTCACTCACCGTAAGGTTTGCTACAACTGCTTTTGCATCATCTAGAGAGAAAAAAAAAAATTCAATTGTTTTGATGCCTGATACTTTTAAAACAAATTAATTTCTATAAATAGTGCACTGTACTCTATTCTAATGTCCTCACTAAGTCACATGCTCTCAACACATTTTTCTCTTGTAATGTGACATTTAATTAACCCAGCCCACACATCAGCCAAAAAGGGAAAGTTCTTTAGGCACATGAAGTATTGCATTTTCATGAAAAATTTAGTTTTTCTAAGGACTAGAGCTGATTGTGTGCTGATTGTGTAACCAAATGTAAATTTGGTTTCATGTTGACTTAAAAAAACTTGAAATGTAACAAAATTAGTAAAAAACAACAACAACCTTGAAATGTAACAAAATTAGTAAAAAAAAAAAAAAAGATTTTAAGGGACAAAAATATTTTCTCAATTTGTCAGATTATTTTGATTTGGATCAACCCAGGTTGTTTGAACACTAAGAATATATTTACAAACGCATAGCAATACTGTATTTCCTGTTAACAAAAACTTGTGATTTCTGATACAACTAGGCCAGGGCAGGCCAGAACTCTCATTCTGCTTTTAATTACTAACATTTAGAGTTGTTTGGATTTCGGGCTCGGATTCTTCCCAGTGACCCAGGAATTAGGATGATGTCCTCAGTGTTGGACATGTAAGAGCTCAGGAACTCTGTGCGGTCACAATGAGCTTCCTCCATGCCTGAAGAAGAAAAAATATATAAAATATTTACAATTGATCTACAAATAAAATTGTATCACCCATAGAAACCCCAAACAAGGATTTCTAAATGTGGTACCATGGTCTCCAACCAAGATGATATTGACACAACGGTGCAGTTTCATCTGTTTCAGGCCATTCATTAGCTGTCCAATCACCTTATCAATGTCCTTCAGTGCACTGTCAAGCTGTAGAATGAAACAACATCTGTGTAATGCTCAATTGTCAAAGATACACCAGCAACGTCAACGGTCTTCAAATTAGCTTGAAGCAAATTTTAATTCACACACTATGGAATGTGAATGTAAGCAGTTTTTGCAGTGAGTCTGTATTTGGGCTGAGATTTTGTTTGCATTACTGTTACATTTGCAGCATGACCATATATGTTTATGTGAGAATGTATGTGAATGAAGCAGGTGAGACAAGGCCAGTCAGCTGGTATTCTAAACTATTAGAATGTTTCCTGTAGACTCTGCTTACCTCAGTGCTGTGGGGTCCTAGTTTGTGGCCATAGGAATCCAGCTGTTCAGAATGCATTGCATAAACATATGGCCTGCAAACACACAGACACCTGTTACATTTTAACCAAAAAAAATAAAAAATCTACAAAAAACAAACACACAGTTGACAGTACTGCTGTAAGGTCAAAGTTACTATAAGGCAAAGTCTAACCTTAAAGCAAATAAAAACTAATAACATGACAGTTAAGATAACTCCGTGAACCTAAAAAAATAAATACATGGAGCAATATTTTTCTGTAGGCAATGTTTCATGTCACATTCACTATAAAATACCGAGCTCTGAATTTTGTGGAGTAAAAAAATTAATGAGAGGGAGTTTACAGTCTTTCTGAACTTTTTAAATGAATTGTTCAAACAATAATGAATGTTCACAAGGCATTTTGGGGGTGTTTATTACATACAGACCTCTCCGCATCCGGAAGGTGAAGCCACTGCAACATGGTCAGAACTCTCCTTTCCAATGGAATGACACTGTTAATGCACCACACATTAGAACTGGTACATACACATATATAGTTTGTATATAGCTGAAATATATAGCAAAGTGTATATAGCTGACATTTTCTGAAAAAGGTGTCAGCAGGGCAGTACAATTAGGCAATCCTGTAAGTTTAAGGCATGCAGAGTACATATGTACGTATGTATGTGGTTAAGAGTCTTTGAGTGTTTATGTAGGGTATCGAGAGACTAGGGAGCAGGAAAGATTATCTCAATCAATCTCTACAGGAAACCCTTTCTCCACTACCACCTCCACTTTTCCTGACCTCCTGTCCAGTTGTATCAACATTAGGTAAATTTATGCACTAAGTTCAGGCCTCCTCAACCTATGGGCTCAGATAAGAATTTAATTTCCTCAAGGTTTGAGGCCAAAGGAAGTAGCTCTAAAGGTGCTTTGCCCTTCCACTGTGCTGAATTTGGTATGCAGTTGACAAGCGCCTTGCTTGTACATAGGACCTTTTCTCACAAATTACTAGCAAAACAGTTCAAGCTGTCTCTGTCTAAGTCCAAGTGAAAAAAAAAAAATGCAGTCTGAAGGCCCTCTGTGAGTGCAGATGAGGGGACCTTTGTGTTTCAGTCCCAGGCAAGTCCAGGACTTGCCAGAGAGAACATCAGAACAAAAACATTCATGTGATTTCCTCTGTTTTATGAAATCTTGCCATTAACTTGCAATTTAGACTTGAAGTACTTTTTTCAGCTGTATAATTAGATTTTCATGTTCTTTTAAGAAAATATGAGTGGTGCTTGCCTGTGCAAAACTTCACATGTCATTGCTTTGTGGTTTCTAGGGTGTTGTGGGAGTTTGTTTTACTGGCACACATGCCCACCTCCCAAGTCTCCATGACATTATGGTCCCTAGATATAAGTTCTCATTCATTATAAGTTTATGGGATTTTTTTCATACATTTAAACATCCACCAGGCTAAAATCATGAAATGGCACACCTCTCCTCAACAAACCACACAATTTGAGGTACCGCTCATGTCCATAACATAAACGGTACAGACAAGTTATTTGATTAACCATGATACAGAATTAAGTTAAATATGACCTTGAAAAAGACATTGTTTGCATTTGACTTTGGATCATGTTGACTTACACTGGCCAGAAAAATGTACCAGCCTTTATTCCTTGTTTCACTGCTGTTATCCAGATCTAGAAATGGAAGGAATAAAAGTTATCAAACAAAACATGTGTTGTTCTGTGTCTTCTGTGGAAAAAAGTCATATACCTAAGAAAACAGTCTATCTCTCACTTTATATATCATATTACTGAACTAAACAAATTGTAGGGATCACAATTCACAAATGAGAGACAATCGTTCTATGTGTTGGGTAATTTTCACAAGTGTTTTAGCAAAACTGCAGAGACGAGACTGGGTAAGTTCCATCTATGATGGCCTCATTTATTGTCACAGCTCAGTCAGTGGGGTATAGAATCAGCCAGAAGAAATAAAGTTCAGTGAAAACTGAAAATTGGCTCCAGCTGTTGGGTTAATAGTTCACAGATGTGTTGGAGATGTCCCCTTTGTTTTCATGTAGCTTGCACAAGATCTAAAAAAACTCACTGACATTATGAACATGATCCACTGCTTGCAGTTTCAAAATACTGTGCCACTGAGGTACTAGTTATAATCTCTTATCTCTCGCCAAGACAATGGTTCACAGTTTAAAATGGTGACATGAATATGGCTCAAAGTAGTCTACATATATGTACATGAGTATCACTGGATTGACCTTTTACAGTTGAAGTTTGAGTATATTTCAAATTCAAAGCTAGAGTTGATGTCAAGAATACCAGAGAGCACTGGCTGTCATGTGTACAAAGTCTATTATCTCTGGAAAAAGGTACATGTCAGAGAAATATGCATACATTTATTTATATATATATATATATATATATATATATACACACACACATATATATATATATATATACTCTGGTAAAACATCTAATATATAATTAAATATTGCAAATTATACTGTATGTTGCTTGAAAAAAATATTATTTTTTTTTCTACCATGATGCAGAAAAAAAACTTTAAATTCCAGTCTGTTTGTCACACAAAGAAATTATATGGGTCCAAAATAAGTTCTATAGATTGTTTTTTATTGTTCTTATAGAACTAGGGCTGCCCTGACAAAAGATTTTCCTAACCGACTAGTAGTTGTTCATTTAAGCCATTAGTCAACTAATCACAGGTTTATGATATTATTTTAGTTACTCTTAAGTATATACAGAGAGAAAATAGTTTGAGTTTCAGGGCTGAGAAAGAATGTTATTTGTAACATTGTTCTACATTACAAAAAAATACTATACCATAATAATAAAAAATTAAAACATAAATTAAGCACTTAAGCGCACACATAAAATGAGCCATAGAGACACCTGAAAAAGATATGATTATGAATGCATCAGAAAAAAAAAACAGCAAAGAGAAATACATAAGCATGTACGTATATGTTTTCTTTCTTTATAAAACTGTATGCAGATTTATTTTTGTTTTATATATATATATATATATATATAAAATGTATAAAAGCAAACTGAAACACTACAACGTGTGCAATTAGAATATAACTATATCAATACTTTTATTTTCCTCTGAATTCTGATCTTCTTCCGGACATAATTATTAGCCAGACCAGAAGTATTAACAAACATTCGGCTACTGACTGCGTCACTTTATCAAATCTTGTGGAGTTTTTTTTTTCTGCAACTAACCAACTAATGAAAATGTAGTTGACCAAGCCTCTTCTGTTGACTAATGTTTGGTCAACTATTATGAGGCAGCCCTATATGGAAGGTGAGTACATGATGACACAATTTCATTTTTGGATGAACTATCCCTTAAAAAAGGTATGGAAGGGCAACTCACAGGTTGTCCTCCCCACCATCGATGGTTGAGCTTTTCTTTCCCTCGAATGTTAAAGTTGGCATCAAAGCCAGGATCATGCATGGAGTTACCCACAATTCCATGCGACTCAGGATAAAGCCCCTTAAAGCAAAGAAAAAACAAAATAAATATGTTCAATGCAAACGGTTTAAGAGGCAACAGAAATAATATTATCATATACAAGTGCTTATCCTAAGTTTTATCCTAAGTCCTAAATGAACATCCCCCTTGTAGAATTTGAATCCTACCAGAAAAACTGCAACAAAAAACAAAATGCATTTCCCCCCCCTCATTTTTCTTTTTTTAAAGATAAGCATCTAGCAGATTCTGCAAGGGGTATTTACACTTATAAGCAAAAATGTAACACAAAGTACACCAACTTAATACATACTGTTGTAATTGTATACAAATTTGGGTAGGTTTTGGTGGGGTACACAGGTCTCATGTATGGTGCATGTGTTCCACATGATCCTACAAGAGAAATGAGAAAATAAGTCTTTATTAGAATCAGTCAAAGGCATCAGTTTAGTACAATAAATGAGGTAATTTAGCACACATGGAATACATGAACATGTTTTCTGAACAAGAATGTGCCCAAAGTTTACTTTGTCTGAGATCCTATGTTTACCATAGGCAAACTCAATTGCAAAATAAACTGCTGTAGACTGTTGGCCAGTGATTGGCCAGTTTTTTAAAAATATTTTTATTACAAGACATAAGTCTTACTGAGTTTCTCGATATTGGGGATCACCATGCTTCCTCTTTTCATGTAAGATGCACGAAAGCCATCAACAGACAGCATGATGACAGGCGGCCGAACAAACCTATACATAGAAAGAAACATTAGTACACCAATTACAAACAAAATGAAATTAATATTTGTTGCTAAAATTTGTCCTCATTTGTAGTGGACAGGCAAATCTTTAATTTGACTGTTCTTTTTATAACAGCCTTCAAGCCTTCCATAGGCACAATTCATATGATTAGGCTCAAAAAGTCACACTTAATGTGCATGCATTAACATTAACTGTTATGCAAACCACCCAGTCCTCCCAGATAGGTGTTTGGTCACACAGAAGCCCAATATCCATCTTTTAACGCCACAGTGTTTGCCATCATTCAGCACTTCACAGCATTAAAAAACAAAAAACAAAAAAACAATTCCCTATCTTCTAGTATGTTAAGTACAGCTGTGACCTAAGATATAAGTGTTGTGGACTTAGCGGTAAATATAAAAGGTGGGATGGATGGGGAGCCCATTCAGTGATGTCTCTCACCCGGCTGGACACTCGTGGTTTTTAATCTCTTCACACTCTTCCTGCAACCAGGGAACATCACCTAATACAGGGAGGAAGTCGGTCAATAAAGCACAAGGTGACATTCATACACATGCAAACACGTCTGATGTTGAGGCAATACAGTGCTCTTGCTGTACAGTTACACACAAACATGCCAAACTCCACCTTTTTATAACTGTAGTGGTTTGGCAAAAAAGTCTTAAGAACTTGATGGGAAATTATTAAAATACTGTATCCATGATGCACATTCTGGATCAAAAATAACAGCTATGGGTGATTGGCACTTTTGAATCAAAAAGAGTACTCCACCACATTAAACTATTTCTGCTAAACATTCTGCGAATTACATTAAAATGAAATGCAAGTTTGTAGAAACACTCTGAAAGCCTCCTACCTTTGCAGAGAGACCTGTAGTTGGTACAGCAGTCTCCTTTGGCAATGCAGTCCTCTGAGCAGTGACAGGCATGCTGTTCATTACGAGTTTCACCACAGCGCTCTTTACTGCACTCAAAGCCACCCACTAAGGGCACAAAAAATTAAACAACATTTCTTGTAGACAAAACCAAAGCAATGCGAAATTAAAGGAAACTGTTACAGCAGCCTGGCACAAGCAATTTGAGGGACGTCTGTCATTTAGACAAAGACAAAAAGTACAGTGGGGTCAAAAAGAAAAAAATGCTACATTAATTTGAGAATCATGAATTTGATAAAACAAGACTTTGAAAATGTCCTAGTATTTGGTACGCCTCAAGTTTGTGGAAAACCTAATACATGTTATCAGCATGATTTGAGAATGTTCCAAAGAGCATTGTGACGCAGAGGTAACATGACCATCTGTTCAAATGAGACATCAATATCACAATTTCATTAGTGACCTAACAGTGCAAAATCTTAAATACTTCTAATTCATTTTACATCATAAAGCCTCAGACTTTGTGTATCTACAAAATGAAAGGAAAAACAAATGTAGATAGGTCTTACCTGTTTTCAGGCAGTGCTCATCAAAGTCTGAGCAACAAGTATTGTGTGTTTTACACAGGTTGTCACAGCGACAGTTTGGGGGTTCACTTTCCACTAGTTCAAAGCACCTGTTTTTGCAGGAACCTGACAGGCTGTTAAAAGGGTGGTCAGAGAGAACTTCGGGGACCGGATAAAGTTTAAGTAAGAGAGAAGAGACATAGAACATACAGATTAAAGAGATATTTTAAATCTAAAAACACACATCACCAAAATACAAAGCTTGTTATGCTTGTGCAAACATTCGTATGTGCTCTGCCCTGAAGCTTAAGACACATATATGCAGTTCAATCATTCCCGCCTGTAAAATTTCAAACATGGGTAAAGGATCTAAAATGTTCTCTGCATATCTCAATATTGACTTAGGGTAGAGCAAAGCAAATATTTCTTTCATTTTCGGTCACCAGCTGAGAGAGCAACAGAAAGTGAAACATTTCGTTAAATGTTCCTTGCACATTACTACTACCAATCTATGTGAACTGACATGATCACTGAATTAAATAACAAAAAACTAACAACAACAAAAAAAAATGAATGTGAATGCATTTATACTGGAACATTTAAAGGGGTCATATGATGCGATTTCAAGTTTTCCTTTCTCTTTGGAGTGTTACAAGCTGATTGTGCATAGATAAGATCCCTGAAGTTGCAAAGACTAAAGTCTCAAAACCAAAGAGATATTCTTTATCAAAGTTAAGACTCTGCCACGCCCCCCTAAAACGGCTCATTCTAACACGCCCCCACATATCTACCTCACCATGTGGAAATATTTGCATAATGCGCCCAAATGATCACGCAAAGAAAGAAGGCGTGGTTTCAGGAACAGCAGTTAGTGTTGAAGCAGCCATGTCAGGGAGACGCTGTGTGATTCTAGGCGAAAGCAAAAGCACTTTATTTAGCCTTCCGAAAGTAGATGCATTTAGGAATCATTAAGATCACTTACAACAGTACAGCAAGGCATTTTATGAACGACC